AACTTCAAGTGAGTTGTGTGTGTGGAGGGGATTCTCGGCCGAAACAAGAAGAAGAGGGAATAAGAGAGAAGCTTGAAGTGATAGTTTCCTGGAGATATGGGAACTTGCATGGAAATCCAAGAGATAAAAATTAGGTGTCTACTCCTCCTTAATCCATATCTTTCTCTTTTCTTTTTTTTATCTATATATATATGGCCGAGAATGGGCTAAAGGAAGAAGAAATGGATTAACTTGGCCCACTTCCAATCTTGGTTCGAGATTTTTAAGGTCCATAGAGAAAGTTTTCGGCCCATTGGGCCTTTAGAGTAGTTCACGGCCCAAATTGTATAAAGGAATGGATTTCTGGCCCATTAAGGCTTATTAAGATAAACTAATTCATTTTGGATCCATTATAGCCCAAAATGTTAGTTTCATGAAAGTGGGTCCAATTAGAGTCCATTTAAGGGTTCTAAGCCCCAAAATAGTCAAATTGGAAACTTATTGGTCCATTAGGCCCAATAAGGAAATCCTAGTCCACATTGGACTTAAACCAGAAGTTTTAGGGTTTCCAATCTTTCGTTGACCAATTGAAGTGTTTATATATAGTTTTTGTTGAAATTTGTTGTCATTGAATAAACACCAATCGTGCTTTCAAAATTTTGGTTACAATTGCTATCATTGTTATAGTTACAAGGATATAGAATTTCCTAGTTGTGATGAGTGCACTCGACGAGTCGGGTCAAAGATGGACTGTTGACTCGAGTTTGACTTCTGTTGACTTCAGGGTTTAGTCAACAAGAGTAATGGAGACCTTAGAGGGGTAAAATGGTCTTTTACCCAATTCAAGAGTTAAAGAGAGAAGAATAACATTTGGCTACTTAGAGTCGAGAATCGAGTATTAATTAGAGATGTTTACCCTATGTGTTAGGCAGTGGCTAGTTCGAGATTCGAGTCTGAGGATAATTGTTTGCTGCTAGCAAGGTGAGTCTTCTCATTATACTTACCAAGAGTGGTATCTTTACGTGATTGAGCTGTTTTATGTGTTTATCTGTGTATTGTGATATCCTACATTATTTCTTTGTGATTTATGTTGTGTGTTACTCAGAGTTTACAAAGTTAGGACCGGAGGGTCTACCAGAGTTATGGGACTGGAGGGTCCAAACTGAGACACGTTGACCAGAGGGTCATATAGAGTTATAGCCTCGAGTGGCTAAAGAGTTGTATGTGGTATTTTGGGGAACTCACTAAGCTTCGTGCTTACCGTGTTATGTGTTATGTGTTTCAGGTTTTCTCAGGATTGCGGGAAGGCATCGGCTTGATTGTACACACCAGTGAAAGAGTTATGTTTTGAAGATCCTGGATTTTAAATCAAACAATTATGGAGTTGCGATTTGTAAACTAAATAAATGAGATTTTTGTGAAATGTGTTATGAGAATTATGCGATTTTAAATGAAAATTTTATTTGAAAATTTACGGTGTTACATGAACACATTTAATAAGTTAAATGGTCAATTGTGTAAAAAAAAGTTGTCTAAACGTGAACAAAAACGAAAAGATAATTACCCTCGCACATGATTTTCCCAAATTGTTAAATAGGCTCCCATTGCAATTTTTCAGTATTATATTATAACTTCAAATTTTGTTTTATATTCTTAAATATTTATGCCATTGCAAGTTCTACTTGTTAATCGATCAATTATTTGTAATATAGCATGACTCTCCACATTAGGCGGATGGATCCATACTTAATTAAAAAAAATACAAGAAAGCTAAATCAAAATCTACATTAAAGGAAATATAAACCAGAATAAAAACAATTCGACAATTCTAATTCTATGTATTAAAATAAAAAAGATAATTTAAGCATTAATATACTTAATTATACATATTGTTTATTAGAAAAACTGTTTCTAACATGTAATTGTTAATAAAATAAATAAATAAATAAATAAATAAATAAAAAGAACCGGTATTGGTCGGTTCCAAATTTTAATATCGATTTCAGTTCCGATTGTTCTTAAATAGTAAAGTCAAATATTTTGTTGATGGTTATCCCATTGGATTTTTTGCATTTCAAAATTCGAGGGATTCAGAAGTGGTTTTAAAATGATATCATAATTTATTACTAACGTATTCTTTAACTAGGTGTAAGGTCCGTGTATTATAAGGGTGAGCATGGTGCTGTTTGGTGTGGTTTTTGGTCAAAACCGAACCGAAAACCGCAACTTCGGTTTTTTGAAGTTTAGAAACCGCACCGTTCGGTTTTTATGCTGTTCGGTTTTTGCGGTTTTTTCCGGTTCGGTTTTTTTGCGGTTTTTTGTTAGTTTTTCTTTGTTTTGCCTTTTTACTAAAACTCAGGTAACTCAGGGCGTTACTTTGACTCGGATGAGGTGTGCTAATCACTTATTGATAAACTTTATATATAGATGAGGAGCGCCAAAATTTTCATCCCCACCAATATGAGACTCCTAAAAAATATGGGTTAAAAGCCATAGACTTAACTCTCTTATGTAAAATGTAAGAATGATGAAGGTTTTATCTCAAAGGCGATGTAGAATGTTCTTATAAGGCTGAAAAAATGAAAGCACAATTGATATCTTGGAGATGAACCGATATCATCACCTCTTGGTTTGAAATCAAATGACATAATCGTTAATCGAACATGCTTCTAATGTTTGAATATAATACGAATTAAATATAATATTTGTTTAACAGGTACATGTAATAATATCAATTAATGTATTCATCAACATGATATTATCATCGGTAGTACTCTTTATATTTAAATGTTGAAAAATATCATAAACATTATTTGTTCTTGTAAATATCATTGAATGTATGCTTAAAAATATACAATCATCCAGATATTTGTATTTATAGAAAGTTTTAATTGTCATGAGTTCTTCGTTCTTACAAATATCAACACTTAATATATATATATATATATATATATATATATATATATATATATATATATATATATATGCGGTGCGGTTCGGTTTTTTGCGGTTTTTGCAAGAGTAGAATCCGCACCGCACCGAACATTTTCGGTTTTTGCAAAACTAAAAACCGCACCGTCGGTTTCTATTTCGGTTTCGGTTTTTCGGTTTCGGTTTTTTCAGTTTTTTCGGTTTGCGGTTCGGTTTTTGCTCACCCCTAGTGTATTACATGAGTTCATTTTAAAGAAAAAAAAATGAAATTCTAAACATTTGAGAAGTTTGAATTTATAAGAAAAAAATAGAAAAATATTAAATTATTAAAATTAAATTGTTTTTTTTAATTAAACAAATAATTTAGATAAATAAACAAAGGAAACTAATGAAATTTTAATTTAAAAAATTTGAAGTTAGAAGTAAGTCAATTAATGAAATTGATATGCATTTGTTATTTACATTTATTGTAATTATTACATTTAAAAATTATGTGGAAATTAATAAAATGAAAAAAACCACAAAATGTCATGTGGAAAAAAATTAATTGAAAATAACCATAAAATGACATGTGTCCAAATCAATGAGAATGTGACATGTTGCAAAAAGTTTTTTATTTATTAGGGAGAATTCTATCTTAATTTTGATCCAAATAATGTACTTTTTTTAGGATTTTAAATTCAAATATATTGAAAACCTTTTAGTTCCTACGATCCAAATGACTCTTGTGAAACGGAAACTAGGAGCCTATAGCAGGAGAAGATAGAAGTTTGTTGATAATAATTGTAGATTTTGTTTGTTATATTAGTATTTGAAAATATAAATAGACTTTTAAATGTATTAAATTACATTAAAAGGCAATTAAAGAAGATTATGGTAATCTTATTTAAGGGTAATTTTAAAAAACTGATTAAGATTGTGTTTGGCACACCACATCTAACTGATAAACTGATAAAGTAGCTTATTTTTTAGATTTTTTAAATTGTTATTTTGTCAAACCAAAAGTAGTTGATAAACTAGTTTTTCAGGAGTTTCTTTAAAATCTCCAAAATATAACTTTAATTAATTATAAAAAAACATATTTTTTAAAATGTTTTTTATATTATTTTATATCTTTCAGTTAGTTTATAAACTAATTTTTCTTTTTCTTTTTTTCTTTTTTTTCGTAGTTAATTTATAAGTTAGCATCTACCCTTTTAGCTATCAACTAATTTTTCAGCTAGTTTGCTAATCATGACTTAAAAACGCTCAATAACATTTTCTTAAACGCTACATGAATTGCTTTATAATTGAATATTTTTGTTTAAACTAAAAACTAAAAGTTGGTATCTTAAATAAAACTTTTCATTTAAATCGAGTTTTTTGTTTAATAAAATTACAACAAAATGGAAAGAAAAAAGACAACAAGCTATACCGTTATTATTTTTTGGATTGTAAAATTAACTTTTTAAAAACTACGTCTATGGATCTTGGGGTCATAACATTATAATGCATGATTCGTTGCAATCGTTTGACGACATCCACCGCTTCTAGTGCTAGGAAACCAAATGTATCAAAAACAATTGGCATAAACACGTGTTGATTATGAATGGAAACTTTTTCCGTGTTTGACTATTTTACTTGAGACCGCTATTAAAGCAGTTTGTCTTCGGTGAAACCCTTACTCTTCAAATCCACTAGAAGGAAATTTTATTAGATCCACACAAACATGTTTCATTCTTATCTATCCAAAAACCAAAAATATCTGTTAGTCTAGAAACTAAAAGTTTTCATAACATTATAATGCATGACCCGTTGCACTCGTTTGATAACCTTCACCGCTTCTAGTGCTAGGAAACCAAATGTATCCAAAACAATTGGTATAAACACGTATTGATTATCAATACAAACTTTTTCGTGTTTGACCATTTTACTTGAAACGCCTATTAAAACAGTTTGTCTTCTTGCAGTGAAACCCTCACTTCTCAAATCCATTAGAAGGAAATCCTATTAGATCCACATAAACATGTTTTCTTATCTATCCAAAAACCAAAATATTTGTTAGTCTAGAACTAAAAGATTTTAAAAACTCATTACCAAACACGTCGTTCATGAGGAAATATATGAAATCAAATAAGCGGTGCAGGTTTACAAATTACAAATGAGTACATGTACTTTTAACAATTTTGGTTTTTTTATTAATTAAATGTAAGATAATTTGATATTATACTAAATTATAAAAAAAAATTGAAAATTAATATTATATTTAAGGAGATCGATTGAAATATACTCGAGATTTACGACTTAAATTTAACCTACTTGATTAGATGTATTGAAAATTTAACCCAGGCCGTTTATTTCGAGTTAAATTTGGTTGATTGGATAACTTTTTTTGCATATATTTAAATATACATTTGGTCAGGTCTCCTCTAACTCTAACAACTAAACTTCTATTCTTTAGCTTGGGGTGGCACTTCGTCGGGAAAGATACCGAAAAATGTAACTGTAAAATGATACAATTTTATAATCGATTTCTTTATTATAAGAATGACTCTTGAATTATTAATTGTTTTGCTACCTACTACTTGGTAATTCCTGTAAGTCAACCTTTCGTCCTACAATGAACTTCTCAACCGAACAGACTAAACCACACTGGAGCCTACGATTTGAGTTTCCGGCAAGTGGAGGTTTCCTTATGCTGCTTCATCTTCCTTCTGAAAAACCAAAGGTTTGTTTCGATTATCTTGTAATTTTAATGGTTTTATCTTTTTTAATTTCCGATCTAAGTCTCTTACCACTCATTATATAGAATCTTTTCTGTAAGTGCAATTGAAATCGTTGTATTTTGATCTGCGATCTGTTTGACTTGCATGCTCGATTTTTCTGTATTTGTAAAATACTTTAGATTGTTTGCTGGGTATTACTTTGAAGCTCTTGAGAATGATAGGAAAATATCTTGCCATTTCTTTGGAAAACAATGGGGATGCCAAATATTGTGTTGTGTAAACTTATTGTCTTTTGATGTTTGTATTGCAGATTTATAGAAATGGCCGACTCTGATGATATTCAACCCATTGTTTGCGACACTGGAACTGGAATGGTGAAGGTTAGCATAATAATTCTTCTGTTGCTATTTCCTAGTTATTGATTTAAGTGTATTCTTGTATTTTGAATTCAAATCAGGGATAAATACTTGTTTAATGCAAAGAAACAATTTTTTTCTCAGTTATGCAACAAATTATTGTTTTGGACCACAAATACAAATTGTTTCATTCTATTACCAACATTATGCAATATCTACGGTTAAGGATAAAACAATTTTTCATATGGGGGCAAATTCATTGATTAAGATATCTTATATCATTAATCACCAATGCATACAACTTTATAAGAGTTGTATAGATTGCCATGTCACCATTCCACTCTCATACAACTTCCCCTTTCAATTTCTCCAATGCATACAACCTTACAAACCCCATACATAATACAACTGCACCTCATATCCCCTCCAATACATATATTATACGCGAATGGGCCCCACTTTTCTTCCATACAACCATTGTATACAACCCCCATCGTAGATGCTCTAGGGACTTTAGGTCTTTTCACTTCTGCTTTAGGTGATCTTCCCTGTAAGGTTAGTTAGCATGTTGGATCTATTTCTTTTAGAGTGAAAGCTAAGGAAGAGAACTAATCATTCAATTTCTATTCTATCATTTCAGTTCCAGTTTACCAATGTATAACAAAATAACAAACAGTTTATTGTACATCTCGTAACAATTCCAACTTACGAGAAAAACACCCAAATTCTAATACAAATTTGAAATAAAAACAACCAAAGGTACTGCAATAAACTGAAATCCTACAAGTGTACATTTTTCTTTGTTTTTCTATAAAATTAAAGGAACATAATTGTATTTTTAACCCTACAATAATTTTACTTTTTGGGTTGTGGTGGCAGTTATTTCCCCACTGGTGGGTCCATAATTTGTTTTAGGTGCATAAATTCATAAAATGTCAAATATTATTGCATTAATTGGTAAAAAAGTTAATCATTTTTAGGCATCCGATTTTTAAGGTTACTCAAACTAGAATTCCTTTTGTTCTTTGATTAAATTTATAGGCGGGGTTTGCGAGTGATGATGCTCCTAGGGTGGTGTTCCCTAATATTGTGGGTAGGCCACGTCACACTAGTGTTATGGTAGGCATGGGCCAGAAGGATGCTTATGTAGGAGATGAAGGCATGTCAGAAAGATGTATGCTGACATTGAAATACCCAATTGAGCATGGTATTGTCAGCAATTGGGATGATATGGAAAAGATTTGGCATCACACTTTCTATAATGAGCTTCGTGTTGCTCCTGAAGAGCACCCTGTGCTTCTTACCGAGGCACCATTAAATCCCAAGGAAAACAGAGAAAATATGACACAAATTATGTTTGAGACCTTCAATGTTCCAGCCATGTACATTGCAATTGGCGCCGTGCTTTCTTTGTACACGAGTGGTCGTACAACTGGTTAGTTTCGCATTGCTTTTTTGGGTCTCAAATGTAATTTACATTGTTTGCATTTTCATATCGGGAAAATGATCTTAAAGATTTGCAATAATGAAAACTAACGGTATAGTAACAACACAAAAATGTAGTGAAGAACAAGAAAATCGGAGAAAAACAATGGACCTAACTATTTAAGAAATTTTTACAATCACATTGACTAATCTCTAAAGTCAACCTTCCATCATACCCAAGACGTTCTATAAAATTTAATTCACACCTTTCTACACTCAAACAAGAAAAAAGTACATATGTGGTATAGAGTGAAAAATTGCAATAAAAACCATTTTCTTAATTGCATAATTTTGCTTAAAAAATCATTATTTTAATAAAATTACAAATTTACTTTTAGAATTAACGAAAATAAAATGCTACTTTTATAACAATCTCATTTGGGTTTTAATGAGATTTCATTCCATTACCTATCTATTACGTTCGTTCGTTGTTCCATTCCATTAACCTGTCTGCTAAATTCCCTCTGTTTAACTTGGTTGAAGCCCTCTCCATCATTTCTTTTTCCATCAGTGTAGTATAAACTTATCTTTTAGTTTTAGCCGACAAATCTCAACAATACTATTTTTTTACAGGTGTCATGTTGGATTCTGGAGAGGGAGTTACACACACTGTCCCAATTTACGAAGGTCACGTACTTCCTCATGGCATCCTCCGTCTTAATCTCGGTGGCAGTGACCTCACAGATTGCCTAATGAGGATCCTGACCGAAAGAGGCTACATGTTCACCACAACAGCCGAACGGGAAATTATTCGTGACATTAAAGAAAAGCTTGCATACGTGGCTCTTGACTACAAGCAAGAACTCAAAACCTCAAAAACTAAATCCTCTGTTGAAAAGCTCTATGAGCTGCCCGACGGGCAGATTATTGAGATTGGGGCAGAGAGATTCCGCTGTGCAGAGGTTCTCTTCCAGCCACATCTGATTGGAATGGAAGCTGCTGGTATTCATGAGATGACCTACAACTCCATCATGATGTGTGATGTTGATATGAGGAAGCATCTTTATGAAAATATTCTGCTCGGTGGTGGGTCAACCATGTTACCGGGCATTGTTGACCGGTATATCAAGGAATTCACTGCCCTTGCTCCTAGCAGCATGAAAATCAAGGTGGTTGCAAAGCCTGAGAGGAAATACAGTGTCTGGATTGGAGGATCAATCCTTGCATCTCTCAGCACCTTCCAACAGGTAAATTGAAGCCCTCATATAGTGTTGAGAAAATGACTAACGAGGGCAAATTTGTTAAATGTTGACTTAATCGGGAAAGTGTTTGTTCCTAACTTTCCTTGTTAAGTCATTTTCTACATTAAGTAAAAAAAAGAAGCATCTATATATAGCTTACTGGATTAAGTCCTGACTAACTGTTGTCTGGATAAATGATTTTAAAAAATTAAGGCAAATTGTTCGGCATAGCAACGTCTTTTACTTTCATTACCAATATGGGCAGTTTACTTTAGTTTTAACTCGTAATAGCAACATATTTATATTCTTTTTACCCATATAGCAATGTATTTACATTTTTTTACCAATAATAGCGATGTTGCTTTACTTTTTACCGTTAATAGCAACATCCTTGTATTCATAGTTGTATAGGTATTGAAATGTAACTATGTTGCTATTATGGGTAAGGAATTGTAATTACACGGAAATTTGTGTAAAAAAATCGTAAGTGTGTTTCTATTATGGTTACATATTGCTATTATCGATAATGAATCCAAGTACATTGCTATTCTTATGTACATAGTAGGGAATAGCGAAATACTTTACTTTCATTACCAATATTGGCAACATACTTTATCTTTTACCCATGGTCAAAAATTACATGTATTCTTTTACCCCTACCAGCATTGGACTTTATATCTTCTATACACATAATAGCAACCACGACTATCTTATTACCAATAGTAGCATCATACTTTGATTTCACTTTGAATATTAATAAATGTACTCTAATTGTTACATATTGTTACCATTGGTAAAGAAATGAAACTATGTCGCTATTATATGTAAAAATATGAAACTCCATTGCTATTGTGGAGAAGAAATTTAAGTACATTGTCTATATTGTTATAAAAATGTAAAGTATGATGCCGTTTTCCATAATTTTCCCTAAGACATATTCGACTAACCAACTTTTCTTTTTTTTCAAATCAGATGTGGATCACGAAGGCCGAGTATGATGAATCTGGTGCATCTATCGTCCACAGAAAGTGCTTCTAAGTACGTATTTGGTTCTTGTTTTATATTTTTCTTATATATTTTCCGTGTTATGTTTCATGTGGAGTAAGAAAGGTACACATGGACATATGTGGAGTTGTTATTTGTTAACAAACAAGAGGATAAACACCATTTCATCCATTAGTCACAATTCTTTTAAAAATTGGGGGAAATGGCTAGTGGCTTCATGATATTAACTGTACAAGTCAAGTTGTATATTAGATTTTTTTGTTTCAAGATAACATCTCCGGTGGTGGAGTTTCTGTATGTTTGTTTTAGTAATCAGGTGGGAATCTATAAGTGGAGGTATTCTTCGGAATTTATAAATATTTAAAAGTAAATTTTAGACGACTCTTAACTTGTTTCACTTGGTTTTTAGCTGAAACTTGTGATTTCTCTGGTTGACCACTTAAAGATAAAATGTAACAAAATTTGACTTCATATGACTTCTCACATTTAATAAAACTATGTTTGAGGGTGGTATGGTAGTAGTGATCTGACACATTTTTATGCATATATTTTTGGTAATATATCCTCGTTTCATGAGTAAAAAGTGCAATGATGGGATGTTTGTTTTGGTCATTGCATGAACTAAATAAAAAATGGAAGCCAAAACATGGAATTTGAACAAAATGTTGGTCGTTGTGGACGAGCACTATGATGAGGCCCAATATGCTATAATGAAAAAGCCTAAGTCTACACTATAGATGGTAAGGTCCAGAGAAACGTGGAGTTAGACAAACATAAGACGTCCTCACTCCTCATGGTTATTAGTGATGTGTATACAATTAGAGTTTGTTAATATATATGTTAGTGATTAGTTAGTTGATTCATTGTGTTATCTCAAAAGTAAATAACCACGAAATTTAACAAACATAAACACATTAAAATCATAATTGTATATATTTATTATATACAAGAGTCATAAATCAAAAAACATACTAGTTGACATACAGGGAATTATAGCTTGGAAAAAATATAGATCCAGGCATTCAAGTTGATTGTCCCAAGTAGAGCTGTTCACTATTTAGATAAAACCGAATTGTCCAATTGAACAATTTGGATTGAACTATTTGGTTCGGATATTCCGATTTTTGGATTGGTTTTCAACAAAACAGAATTATTATTTTGGATTTTGGATTGATTTGTAAAATAAGAACCAAATAATCCCAAAAAACCGAATAAACATTTATTACTTATTTATTAATATATATATATATATATATATATATATATATATATATATATATATATATATATAGTTATTTATTAATTTTGTAATTTATTTTTTCAAATAGGTTCAAAACGTTTCACCCGATAAAAAAACATTAATATGCATTTTCTCTCAAAAGTTTTCTATCTATAAAATATCTAACTATAAGGCTAAGGGGAGTGGTAACACTCTTAGCACCTTGCCACATCATCTTTTTGGATGTCACCTCATTTTTTTTCATTTAACACCTAATGTTAGCATTTGGTAAGGAGTGGTAACACTCCTAACACTTCATTTTTTTTATTTTCTTTTTCTAATTTAATTAAATTACTTTATTTTAATACACAAACATTTTATCTAACATCACATTCAACTACATTTAGAATCCTACACTAACTCAAAACCTTAAATTAGGAAAGTTTTCCCAAAATACCCCTGGGACCAAATTCAACTACATTTATCTAACATCACATGTTCCACGACCATTTAAGCTGCAACCTTCCGAAAAATGGCAATACCCTCATGACTTGGTAGACTGATGGCACACTTTCTGCAAGCAATGACATTTTGAACTTTGTTAGATCATGGAATTTGAGTCATTTCCAGATTCCTCACGATCAAAATCCACAATATTTATATGAAAAATGAAACCACTACAATTTAGGACACAATATTTATAACCTCTTGAAGTTCATTTGGCCTCTTACCATGCCAGGAGCATCAACAAGTGCCGATTAATCAAATCAAAATAGAGGTAATTAAGACATGAGCATCTATAGCAGATTAAATGTTTCTTTGAATCCATATAACAGAAGCCACCAGACATGATCACATGGAGCATCTCTAATTCCTAATCTTCGTATTTTGTTACAACCAATTTCAGGCATTTTTAATAGCTTTCATTTGAATTACACGGTGGTATTCTCACAGAGGAAAATGATCGAACACCTGGTGTGCACAGGAAAATAACAGCAGATAGCCATAGCCATGGAAACAAATCTAAAGCTTAATGATCTGAACAGTTTTTTTTTTTAAAACTGAAAACAGAAGAGTCTATGAACAAGACTGAAAAACATAATAAAACTTTAAACATTGAGAATGGTTCTCAAGATCAAAACCAGAAAGATCTTTAAGATTAACAAAGGTGAAAGACTTACTCCCAACACATTATCCAAATTCTGAGAAATTTGAATTCGTTCATGCACATCCAATCAAATTCGATTAATTCCGGACGCTAGGGTTTTTTCAAAATGAAACTATAAAATTGAATTCGGTCAAACCCCACTTCCACCAATCAAATTCGTTCCTCACCATCTCTCTCTTCGCGCCAAAGGTTTAGCACGTCTCCGGTGGCGACCCCCTAGCGAGGGCTAGGGGGCGGTGTTCTAGCGAGGTTGGCGACGCTGGCGAGGCAAGTGGCGAGTGCCACTCCGCTTAGTCTAATATACCTTCTTAGTAGTTGTTTATAAATTTCAAATCACAACTAAAAAATTTGTTTTTGCTTCTTGTGTATAATTGGGTAATATTATAATTATATGTCGTTTTAAAATGTTTTGGTTTTTGAAAATTGAACTATAAAAACCGATCCAACCGAATTGTAATTGGATCAGATCGGATCGGATTTGAATTTAGTTTGGACTATTCAGATCCATATTTTGAAAACCGAAATAATTTGGATTCACTTGATTGGATTGGATAAAATCGATCCATCCAAACGAACACCCCTAGTCCAAAGGCAATATTTGTCATGGTATAGGTCTGTCTTGAAGATACAACAATCAATTCAAGAATGAATATTAAATTTGTCAAAAATGATCATGCTTTCATCGTATGAAAAAACGATTTTGAAAAAATAGCTAAATATAACATCACACTTTTATTTTCTTTAAAAACAACCCAAATATAGCGTTGTACTTCCATTTTTTTAAAAATCTATCAAATAATAGCAACGTCATTTGTATATAAATCATTTTTCATTGTTACAGTTGGATGAAGATTAGAAAGTTTAACATTTTGATAAATTTCCTTTTGAAAGTACAACGCTATAATTTATTAAGTATAAAGGTCATTTTCATTGCATTTGACCAATTCTTGAGTTAAATTATGCTTTTACAACCAAGAGATACCTCATTAATAAATATTTGAATATTTTCTCAATAAATGTTTTATAAGATGTAATGCCCGTTCCTCAGGTATATTTCCTTATGCTATTTAAAGTTTTATATATTGAGAATTCTGGGTCTACACCAGGCGTAGAAGGCAATTACGCAGGGCGTAAATCATTAAGTGCACGCAGAGGATTCTCGCCCTACGTCGGACATAACTTTGGTTACGCATGACGTAGGCGTGTAGAGCTCAAACCCTAATTTGAGGGGCGTGAGCTCTATTTAAAGGCTCTAATCTCTTGAGAGCCTCCCCATGCTTAGCCTCCACTCTCCCAAGCAGTCTTTTCAAAACCTTAATCCCTTGTGAGCTTGTTTGAACTTTTTAAGTGTTCTTGGTGCATTTTGAAATAGGAGAAGTCTATCCTTGATAGACCTGATAATGGGGCGGGTTTGGAGCGAATCGACCTTGATCCAAACCCGTTTAACAAATTTCAAAATCCAATCCAAACCCGCTCCGTACCCCGCAGGGTTTTGAATAATCAAACTCATACCCTTATCCACCGAATCAGCAGATATCCAAACCCGCCCCATAACTTGTAGGTTTTTTGAATAATCAAACAAAAATGTTTATTTAGAAAACGCATTACATACTCGATGACTTTTGATTGGAATTAAATTCACTATTGTAGTAACTTCCGATTGATTTTTGAATGTAGAATGTGGTGATAGAGAGTAGCAATTACAAACTTTCTTCCGGTTGATAATGAATTTATTGATTTATAAATGAAATTAGTGATTGCTGGATGAAATATTAATGAAATGATACCATGATTCTTGTTAATAGACCATATATAAGTTGACTCCTCGAGTCCTATGTAAAAAAAGTT